TCCAAGAGGATTTACCGTTAAAAGTCTGCCATATTTGCTTGTTTTATCATATACCTACCTATTAATCAGGACATTATATACACATATATGATATGTACATCTAAGTAAAATACATGTTATTATTAGCTGAGTCATGTAAGAGCAAGCTTCAGGCATCACAATCTCTTCCTTAAACACGTCAGCATGCATTTCCCAAGCATGAGGGCATTCTCTTACCTGACCATGGTACAGTGATCGAATTCAGGACTGGGTCTGCAATCCAGGGTTCTGTGACCTCTTTAAACATCAAGAGCCATCAACAGCAAGCCTCTACTGAATACCTGCTGTGTGCAAGGTGCTGTCCTCTGCACTGAGTGCTCAGACTGGTGTGAGAAACAGATCAGCAGGCAGATATCTGCAGTGAGACGTGGAAAGCGCAATGGCAGATGTAAGCAGGAGCGCTAGGGGAGTGTGGAGGAAGGAGATCTGGATAGAGACATCAAGTTGTTAATCCATGTCCATCTTCCTTTCTTTTTCTCACTACTGGGCCTTTGTACTAGTAGGGTTCCCAGTGTCCCCAACTCAAAAACTACCTTCTCCAATTTCTCTTTTGGGAGACTGAAGACATATAGACAGAAGTTGTTGGTTAGAAATTCTGGGAAAGCTTATCAAACAGCCTAGCAAATTGGGAGGCACACACTTTGGCTCTTGACCCTTCTTCCTTCCTGCTGTTAGGAATGTCATTGCAATAGCTAGAGCTGCATCAGCCATCTTGCAGCCATGAGGTGGCATTGAAAATTGAAGCTAATATGAGGAATGGTGGAGCAGAAAAACACAAGGATCCTGGGTAATTGGTGATAAAGTGGAGCCACCACAGCAACCCTAAATTGCCTCCTCCAGCTCTTTAAGAGGAAGGAATTAATGATCTCATTGAAGCCATTAATTGGGTGTTCTGTTACATGCAGCTGAATGTAGTCCCAACTAATAAATCACCTGATACAATCTTGGAGATCCAGGGACAATTCCCTTTAGATTATGAAGGATAAGTAGGAAAGAATTGGGTAAAAGGGCAGACTCCAGAGTATAGACTTTAGCTTAAGTGTAGCAGAGGCCACTGAATGGACTTGAGGAGAGTCTCAGTATCGAATTTTAGTTATAGGAAGCAACAGAGAGGAAGTCATCTCTTTGATAGCTACACTTAAAGGAGGGGAAAGAATGAAGTCAGGAGAACTAGTAAGAGAGTCAGGTGACAATCTCTGCAAGGAATGACACAATCTTGAAATAACGCTGCACAACAGTGCTGAAAAAACAAGGGTTGTGCCTTCAGCAAGACCTGGGGGCCCATCTGGGCTTTGCGACTTACTAGCTATAATACCCCGAGCAAATGACACCTCAATGCCTTAGTCCTTTCCTACTTCCATGAGATTATTAAGAGAATTCAATGAGGCCACGCGTGAACCATGCTTAGGGCAGTACTGGGCACCCACTACATTGTTGCTGAGTCCATGGTAGTGAAAGACGATTGCAGGCAATAATGTACAGTAAGATGGAATCAACAGAATGCTAGGCCCAGTGGGATGGTAGGAGGGGTGAGTAAGAGAGAGAAAGGAGTTTAAAATGTTTCCCAGACTTCTGTGGAAGAACCAGTTTGGGGAGAAACACGATGATTCCAGTTTCGGATCTGCGGAGTTGGTGGTATCTCTGGCCATCTGTGTGGAGATGACCCGTGTTCACCTGCACATGGGGGTAGATACAGAGCTGGGCAAGGGTCTCAGCTGGAGCCCCAGGGCATGAGATCACAGCCCTCAGGTGAGCGAATAGAATGAAAAGACACGAAGGCCAAAAGGGAGCCCTGTGGCTGGGGCTGGTGGACAAAGAGAAGTCATCAAGGAAACTGAAGAGGACTGGGTTCAAGGTCATAGGAAAAAGCAGTGTGTCTGAAAATTCAAGGGAGAGCAAATTTGCAGAAAGAGGCATCAGTAGCCTAAATGCTGCAGAATCATCAAATCAGATCTGAGAAGTAGGCCCAGGATTGAGGGACAAAGAGGTCACTGGGGCCCCACGGTTAACTGAGGGTCCTCGGGCCATTGTAACTCAGGGTGACGATGGGGCTGGAAGGCAGAGTGTGGTCAGTGGAGAGGTAAAGGAGAATTAAGGATCGAAGAGAAAACAAGTTCATACTGTATAGTACAGGGAACTATAATCAGTATCTTTTAGTCACTTATGGTGAAAAAGAATATGAAAACAAATACATGTATTTTCAGGTATGACTGAAACATTATGCTGTACACCAGAAATTGATACAACATTGTAACCTGACTATACTTCAATAAAAGTATATATATGCAAAAAAAATAGGATGGAGGAGAACGTTTGTGTGAAGGTGAAGAGAGATGCAGCAGTGGGAACTGAAAAGGAGAGGAAAACGCAAGGAAAGTAAGATGCTAGAGACTCAGAAAGGTGAGAAGGGCCGGCTTGATGTCCGTAGAGGACCCAAAGCTCGACCGGGGACTTTGCCGCGTGCCCAGAGAGTGGAAAATGGCCCACGGTGGGACTGGGCAGCCACAGCGCCCGGCGGGGAGAGGCTGGGAAACTGAAGGGAAAGTCTCCAGTCTGAGCTTCTGCGGACAGAGGAGGGCAGAGAGAACATGAGGAAGATGGAGAAGGTGGACGATAGTGACCCGCACTCACACTATGCAAGGAACGGTGCCACTGGCGTCTAGACAAGCGTCCTCACTGCGACCCTGTTCCGCCAGTGAGCACCTGAGACTCAGGGACTTGAGGACCCGGCTGGGTCCTTGACGGCCGTCTGAGCCCACGATGGCACCTTCATCACCAAGCTCCACGTGTGAGGCACAAGACAGTGGGGCCGGGAGAGAAGGCACAGGGATGCGGCCCGAGACAGAAGATGGGTCTCGAGCGATTTGAAGGCAGATGCGGAAGAGGCGGGCGCGAGCAGCGGAGGCGGACGACCGGAGCGGG